TCTGCTCTGGTGATTGCATAGTGTTCAACCATGATAGTCTGGGGTGAGACCTTGTGTATCAGTCCTATCCTTTATGGAGACTCCGTGCTTGCTACCCAGTCGCCTTCTTTTAAGGAGGGGCCTCATTTAAGGATTTGGTACCATGCGAGGGGGATAACTTCGATCAGGTTATCTAGACGCTCCTCCATGTGGTGACAATATCGTAGGGTTCCTCGCATCTGGTCTCATATTTTCCAATCCCTCCTATCAGTGTCCCAAAGATCCCCAACCCTAAGCACCCCTCTCTTTACCCAACTTTTCCAAGGTAAGGAATAGCTAATCATGACACAACCCCTCAAATTTGTCACCCATCGGTTTCCAACCAAAGGTTGCCGATATACTTCTTCCCAACAATTAGGGTAAATTCTATTAGGGAGCGGAAGTCTACACCATGTTTCCAACAAGGATGGCCAGAAGTTGTCTGAAATCTGGTCGTCTCCTTCCAGCCCCTCCCTTCCTCGGGGGAGTTAACGTGGGATCGACCAGTATCAATCCTCAAGCCATATCAGTGGGTGGATTGTTTGGGGAGCTTTTGGGGCTAGTCGGGCCAAATGTTCCAAAGCCAATGTGCACCACGAGCATTGGGGGACGAAAATGAGTTTCTTAATCCATCTTAGGCGTAGCGCTCGCACTTGCTTGGCTGGGTCAATTATTCCCAAGCCTCCCCCCGCCTTAGGTTGGATAATTGAATCCTACGCCACACGGCTGATCACGTTGTTCTGTTCGTCGTCCCCTCTCCATAAGAAGGCTGCTGCCTTTCTCTTTAAGCTTTTTAAGGCAGTTTTGCTTAGTGGTCACAGTAAAGATTTATACCATAAAGATGCGAAGACCACATTGTTAATTACAAGTGCGCGGCCGAAAAAGGATGTGTGCTTGTTTCTCCAATTATCTAGTTTTCTTTGTGCCGAGGTGCTGATCCATTCGTCGTTGGTCGAAGGGCGTCCTTGAGTGGTCATGGATACTCCTAGAATTCTTACCGAGGCCTCTAACGACATCCACTTAATACGCATTATTACGTGGTGACTCAGGGGGACGTCCCCCTTGGTAGTGAATCCACCATCCTTGAGTTTTGCTCCCCCAATTGATTGTCACACTGGATCGGCCACACTCTTATCCGACTGCTAATGGGACCACACCCCTTGGGAATAAAAAAGTTGTTGTGTCTTTTTTTTTGTTTTTGTTTTTCTTTTTTTTCTTTTTTTTTTGACAAGTAACGTTGGTGCAATTGGGGGGTGATAGCAGCATCCTCCCTTGGTTGCATCCTCGTCAGATGGCTCCTGTGACCTATCCATTGGCGGGGAGCGTCACCTGCTGGAAAATGGGTACGGCATCCCATACAGAGATGATTACATAAGCAATGAACAATACCAAACCCATTACCTGGCTTTGGGTATAGGAGAAACCTTCCTGTAGCTGAATGATCTGGATGACATGAGATGCAGGTGTGGGTGCTCTTTTTTTTTTTTTTTTTTGCTCTTATCACCACACCAAGCAGTTCTAGCAGGGTTAAATAATAATAACAAGCGGACCCGCCGCGGCTGCACCCGCGGCGAGAGGAGTACAGAACGCGAGAGATGGGGAAAAGGGAGGAGATGGATACAAAAAACAAAGAGTAGCCAAAAGAAAAAAAGATCAGTTTACCTTCGTCCGCGTTTCTCCTCCCTCCTCCTCTATCCCGACTCCCATCCCGACCTCTTCCTCATCCCTTTCCTTCCCCGACCTCGTCGCCCCCCTCCCCTATCCCGACATCCTTCCCTCCATCGCCTGTACCTCTCTCCCGACCTCTCTCTCCATCGTCTCTCCATGTCTCCGATCTCTTCCCCGATCTCCCCTATCCCGATATCGTTCCAACGTGCCTTTTCCCGATCTCTCCCATCCCGACTTTTTCCCTCCTCCTCCCTCCTTTTCCTTCGCATTCCGACCTCCGACCTTATCCCGTCTCTCATTCCCCGACCTCTCCCATCCCGACCCCCTCCTCCTCTCCTCGTCTACCTTCCCATCCTGACCTTTCCTCCCCGTCCTTCTTTCCCCGATATCGCTTGTTCCCGACCTTATCCCGACGCCCCGACCCCTCCTGTCCCAACCCCTCCTGTCCCGACCTCTCCTCCCCTCCTCCTCTTCCCCCCCCCCCCCCCCCCCCCCCCCCCCCCCTCCCAATCTCCCCTCTTCCTTCTCCCTTCCCCACTCCGTCGTCTGCCCTCCTCTCTTCCCCTTCCTTTCCTTCCCAACCTCCCCTCCTCTCCCATCCCGACCTCTCCTTCCCTTCTTCCCTCCCC